TCTCTCTCTCTCTCTCTCTCTCTCTCTCTCTCTCTCTCTCTCTCTCTCTCTCTCTCCCTTTCCTCTCTCATTCTCTCTTTATCGTTCTCTATCTCCATCCCTCCCTTTCTGGGTCTCTCTCCCTCTCCCGCCTCTCCTGCACAGAAGGATTCTTCTCGGGTTTTGGATACTCTGTTGGAGTTTCCTTTAGAGACAAACTGCTTCTGGCTTACCCTGTAATACCGGCCGTCTCCTCTACCTGGTTCCGCCAGTACTCTTATATATATATATATTATATATATATTATATATATATATATAGAGAGAGAGAAAGTTGCCCTATCGCGCAGGCAAGACTTGGGTTTGAGGAACAACGAGAACCGCAAAACAACAACGGGAAAGGCAACCTTCTCTCAAACCACAACTTCTCACCCCCGAAGAACTTGTTCTCTCCCGTCGAAGGGTTTCTCGAAAATGCCACGCCGGTCCCGCAAGCCTGTCAAAACACATAGGAAAAACAGGATGGCAAACAGACGGGGGCCAAACGAACAACTTCGAAATGGTGGACGAATGCGACTCCATCATTCCATTGCCTGTGTGCACTATCGCACGGAGAAACGTAAGAGCCGTCAAGAAAAACTACTCTGAAGATTGGACATCAAAAACAATCTTCGACTGAAAACCGGCCGGGTGTCTGGTCCCTGCTGTTGCCGGCGGGCGTTGGGAAGAAGTTAAAGACTAAAGCAACTGCTGTGCGTCAGCCAACAAAGCTCGGAGCCTCGGAGCCACAAATACGTTGCTAACGCAAGTCATTCTGCGACAAAACGCACATGGGATACCCAAAAAATGAAAAGTCTTCCACCAAAGCCAACGGAAATAAATTCGCAAGAACTACAGCCAACGGATCAAACCGCCGCGGACAAGCTTCCAAGCCACTCAGCTCTACCGCCGCGCCGCTCACGTCGTTCATGTTGCCGTAGGCCATGGCCTGCACCGACACGGCGGTGCCCCATGCGTCGGGGATGCCGTTGTACGACCGGTAGCGGATAGCGCGGTCATTGTTCCAGGAGCGGAAAACGGCCAGGATTGCGCCGCGAAGCTGCTCCCTCGGGTCCATGGGCACGTTCGGATTGAGCTTCTTGAACTCAGCAACCACCTGTTCGTTGTTTATTGGCAGTGGCGTGCGGGACAGACGGAACGGGGCAGGGTCGTGTCGGGCGCAAGAAGCGCGGGGGGTGATCTTCAAGCCTTGATGAGAAAGAACGATGCGCCGCCTTATGCCTCACGTGACAAGAACAGCAAACGCTACGTGCGTCTACGGATGGTTGCGCGGGGGAATGTCCGGCGATGATCAGCTTCAACGCCAGCGACACGATGTTATGTGCCATCTGCGCAAAACGCGCTTGAAAAATAACCCGTTGCCTTGCCTCCCCCCTGTCTTTTCTTGTAATCGCTGGTCAAGCGTGCCGAGGAACGCCCCGACCAAAGCTGTTGATGCCCTCCCGGAAAAAAGATTTGCGGCCGACTGAGTGGACTGATATCTATCGACCTAAACCCACACTACGAGTCCATCCCCCCGTCGACCTCACACGCAATGTCAACCTTGATAGCCTCGAATTCCAGCTGATACACAGTTGGCGGCTGATAAAATTGCCTGATACAAGCCAGAGGGCCCAATCAATGCATTACGTACCACCTACCCTGCGTTCTGCGCTAGGTTGTCCCCAGATGAATATGACAAAACATCGCCTGTGGTCTTTCCATCCTTCGAATACACTGGGCTTGTTAATATCGCCTGCTTTGGCTTTGTGTCGCGCCCCACCCATCTCCCGCTGGTTGAATAAAGAGCACACGCACACCTGTTTCCAGTCCGAGGCCTCCATCTCCAAGTCGAGCTTGATCCCCTTCTTCTTCTTGATCTTGTCGATCACCTGACAAAGACAGACAGTGTCACCACCGACAATCAGCAAATACCATCAGCATACGTAGGTCGATGATTGAGTTGGTATGGACGCAGATATCTCGGGAGCTGCAAGTTCTGCGCTGCAAATTCGACGTCCTTCGTATGTGGCGTGGAGTACACAACGGGGTACGAGCGGCTCGCCGATGTTCTTCACATTGGTGGGGACGGGTGATATCACGTTGTCAGCCACTTCAAGTCTTCGGTGTATGCAGAACGCGCCACCACCTGAGAACTTGAACTTAGCAGGTAACAAGTTGATCCTGGAATATCCAAAATCTGAGAACGTGGCCGTAACAACAGGTACTCAGTCAAGAAGCCTACACTAAAATATATACAGTCGCCGTAGGGTTATCCCATAGACAACATAAGAAACGAGACTCGGCAAAAACAAGAAGTTCCGAAGTGGTGGCGCGTTCTGCATACATGCTCCAACGTCAGCCTAGTAGACACGCAACTCTTTTGGATACGTTAGTGCTGCCTGGTTCTAAGCTGGAGTAAATCCCACCGGTAGAAATTCGACGGTCTCAATGCATATGACCATGTTACTCGCTGCATGACCAAGGCATGATGGCGATCAGAACGACGGTCACCACAAATGAATGTTGGAAACGAATGCGAGAGTGCTAGACCACCAAAAATAACGGGGCGACCCTCTTGAAACGGCGGGATATTGTTCGTGACTTCTGTACTTGCAACAACTGTGCTGTACTCGGAGATGCGAGCGACTTTTGAGGGAATATGAGGCGGTTCACGAGCGAAATAGGCTTACCCCTCCGCCCCCCCCGGTGTTTGCCATCGGGGTTGGGTTTTCGTCGCTTGGCAACGACGTTGTAATACAAGCCAATTCACTTCGTGAACTCGGCAACCAGGTTACCGTTTTTATTTTACCTCCGTTTTTTTTTTTGGCGGTAACCATAAGGGTGGTCGAGTAGATCATGTTGTGCGGGGTGGAGAACCCTCACTCCGCGCAAGGGGGATGATCGCACCACGCTGTGTTAGAATGGTCAAGCACCCTCGAGGCAGCTACACAGTGCTTACAAGTGTCAGGAAGTGAAAGCACCAGAAAATAAATCAAGTCATACGCAGCTGCCATCCGTACGCAAGGAAGTAAGCACAAGATGCCGAACACCCTTAGCAGGATGCAGCGCACCCTTCATGCGATTCGCCGAATATCTCACGGCNCCCCCCCCCCCCCCCCCTCCGGAAGGGGTCAAGGCTGACGCCGCGTGTGTACGGCATAAAAAGCACATCTCGTCATGACTCCGCGAGAACCATGGAAGGCGTTTCAGCAGAGGAAAGCAATGGCCTTCGGAGCCTCGTAGCTACCATGCCCAGGTATAGGCCGAGGGGGAACCCTGAGAGGAAGGAATGGTGATAAGAAGGACTGGGCAGAAATTGTCGACAATTTAACGACGTACACAGAGACATTTTCCTCCCTGAAACTGAGTGTAGAAGAATGACAACGGGAACGCGTGAACTGGAGGGGGGAGGGGAGTGTGGGGGGATACAAGTCATATCGTACCTCTTCGAAGGGTTCCTTGTCCATCTCCATCACCACGTCGGAGTACATGTTGAGGAAGCGCCTGTAGGTGTCGTACGCGAAGCGCTCGTTTCCCGTGGTGTCGATGATGCCCTTTTTCAGTCGAGAATTAAGAGATTAGCCACGTGAGTCGAGAAAGCACCGCGATATATGAGCGGAGTTACCCACGAAGAAAGGGCAAGACAGAAAACCGCGTCGATTTTGAGAAATCAGGAGCAGGAAGGAGAGAAAAGGCGGCGAAATCAAAGGGACCGTCGGATACACTCGACAACAACCAATAACCACAATCATTGTACACAAGACGAACAATACTCGGACAACGGCAAATAGCATGACAACAAGCTGCCCGACGGCTCGGCAGGAGCGAGGCCGCAGTTGGCCCGCGCACTGAGCAATAGTCACGGACACGAAAGTAGGGTGGTTGTACGTTCATGTTTTTCTTTCCGTTGGATTCACAATTGACTCACTTGGGCACTCAGGAGACTCGAATGCAAGGCAAGCAGCAGCGGCACGCACAAAGCCAAAAAATGTAGGACGCGCTCTGTTCGCGGCTAACCGTAGCTCACGCCGCACGAGCAAAGTCAGACCGCCCCCCTGCCCCTTCAACAGTAAGCGACGGTATTTAGCAAATGTTTGTTGACGTAAAATGTAAGACGATATAGCAGGCTGTGCTTCCGCGGCCGCTGCCTCTGCTCTACAGCAATCCCAGATGTTGTAGGTGGAAGAAATCCAACACATTGAGTACTACAGTACATACGCAAAACACAATACATCATAAAAATGAACAAACTTCGCACGCACACCTGCACGATCTCATCGTTGAGGCCGAGGTTAAGCACGGTGTCCATCATGCCTGAAATTCGCGAAGCGCCCACGTTGTCGTGACCATAAAAACAAGGGTGTCCACAGTTTTGGGCCGGTATGTTTGCCACGAGGCACGCGCGCGTGACGACGGAAATTGGTCCAGGGAGCAATGCGGGCCAAGCAGTTTCTGCGACGATGCTTTTTGACATTCAATGAAGAAACACTGGCACTCTCTCAGAATTGAAGCACATTCTCGACACAACTGCATCAAAACCACAATTCTAGTACAACTTCAGCTTCATGCTGACAAAACAACTCAACCCTCCTTCGAACGTGAGGTCAACCCCCCAGGCAACCGTGGGCACTGACAATGGTTCCCGACACAACTGCATTCTAGACGTGTGATACATTCTCGCGCCCCGTCGACCACTTCTCTCATCACAACGCGTCGTCGCCTTCCACGATCGGAACGCCGGGTACCACGGATCTACCGCAGTACGCAACACGGAACACGCAACACGACACAAAAAACACGCGTTTCCAGCAATCAGAATGTCCGATATCGGCGCTCACCGGGCATGGAGGCCGGCGCACCCGACCTCACCGACACCAGGAGCGGGGTGGTCGGGTCCCCGAACTTCTTGCCCGTGTCGTCCTCGAGAGCCTTGAGCTGCGCCTCGTAGTCGAGGGCCTTGGGGAGGTCGCCCGTGCCCTCCTTGAAGTACTCCAGGCAGGTCTCCGTGGTGATGATGAAGGCCGGCGGGACAGGCAGCTCAAGCTTGGCCATCTCGCACAAGTTGGCGCCCTTTCCGCCCAGCAGCATCTTTTTTTTTTTTTGCGTCAACGGCGTGTGCGTGTATGTGCGCGTTTCTTTACACATCGGAGCATTGACGGTCCTACGAAACTGGCTGACCAATGAATGAATTGACATCTCAGCCTTTCTTGTCTTTTGCAAGTTGGTCAACAATGTCGGACACGATGGCCCGGTTTGGAAGGGAGCATGTCATCTCTGATTGGCCCGGTCGATTCGACGAAAGGGTTTCAAGTAAAAGCGGGTGTCGGCGAGAGGGTTACGTTGCCATTTTGTCCGTGCTTGGCACCAAAACGTCTGCGGATTGCGCGGAACTCTTCAACCACCCTCCGTCCTTACAATTGTGGGCACATGGTTGGCTTACACGTCGCCGTCTTCACCGTTCTCATTTTTCGGTGTGTTCCTCAATACAATACCGAGCAACCAGCACCTAGGTAAAATAAAATCTTTGCATTTAGGCATACTTCTGTCATGTAAGGCCCATGTGGAAGGCACAACCAGATCGTTCTGAAGATCGTTCTGAAGAAAACACAAAAATACGAAGAAGGCCGCGTACGAATCTCCTCGACACCGCTTGTTGCAGGGAACAGGTTGTTGCTCGCTCCGTACCGATGTGACCAAAACACATAACATACATCGTCCACGAGGGACAAAAGAGCTAAAGAGCGGCGTGTTTCGGGCCGTTTTATGCTGCTCGGAGACGATCCACACCGCGATGGGTATGCAGTGATGACGGCATACGTGACTCTACATGACGCGAAAGAATGCACTCCAGCTTCGCTTACAGGCGGAAACCTTGGGTTCACATTCGCTGAAAAACAGGGGCGCGTGTGGAGGTCCGCCTTATACTGTATACATTTGTTTTTTTCGATCTCCACGTCCGCAATATTAACTCTTGCGGAGATACGTGGCGAGTCAACTGCCTTACGCACGCACGAACGAGTCGAGAGAAACGTCGAAAACCGGCGGTGACACTGGGAGCCAGCGAGGACGACATCAGGGGTGCGAGATAGCGCCACGAAGCAAACGAAACCATGGCTGCTGCGGCCTGTGCGCTTGTCGGCGACCACGAGCAAAACAATCTGAATCCCTGATGCTTGCTCGAGTACAGCAACCGCACATGGGCTGAGGGCGACACAACACGCCCGAACAACTCCATAAGCGGGATAATCAATTTTTCACCGGGGTGGTTGGGGTCGACCTCCGCCAATTTCCCATTTTTTGCTCCGCTGGGATAGTCTAGTACAAGAACTTCTATATTCGGCGCGGCGTGCGTTCACTTACTGTTTTTTCTTCAAGCATGTTTCTGAACTCGAAACCCAGAAACATGCTACGGAAGGACAGAGTGGGGAACGAACCGAACGCCATGTAAAGGCCGACGAGACTCGTCAGAAGCACCGCGGAACGTCCACAAAGGTTCAAAATAAATGGGCGTCGCCTACCCACTTCGATCATGCGCAATCTTGTTTGACTTGATTTCGTTCGTTCCCCTGGCAACACACATGATGACGGGTACATCGACTTCAAGCACTCGCTGAAGTTGAATCGCCCTGAAAACCCCATGCACAGCCCGAAAGTAGCTGCAATTGCGCAGAGTCGTGGTGGACTTTAAAGCCCAACACGGGACGCGACCGCTGCAAACTAGGTTAGTGCTGGAGAGCTCTCGGTACGTCGCCAAACTGGCAGCCCTCTGCCACATCGACTTCTATCTCCCGTCGTCCCTGACAAAGCTAGTTTGCTGCCCACCCTCGCTGTCCAAAGCAACACGTCGCGTGCAAGGCAGCACGATCTCTCACCTTCATGTCCTTGTTCCCCTCGTTCAGCAGGTACACGCGCTTAATGCTGTCCGCTGTTGCCGATGATGCTGGCGCCTTTTGAGGTAAGATTTGGTCGAGAGCCGCGAGGAGGCGGAGAGAAACGTCAACATCTCTACTCCTTGTACGTACAACTTTCGTCGGTCGAAATTACGCCAAGACTACGGTGGTGGTGACCTCTCCACGACGGCAACTAGAGAATGTGCAGCCCTGCGGCTTGGGGGCACCATACAGTGCCCAAAGGTGCACAAGCGGCAATGGTGCTCTCGCCGAGTTCTATGGGCGCGTGTGACGCTCTCTGACATCAACTTGGTAGCGGAACACAGGCGGAGGGAGTCGTGAAGGTCCGGGATGGCTACATGGACAACACGACACAGTCAGGCAATCCAGCCACAGGGGTGTGACTCACGTCTGTCTTGATAGGCGTCGCCTGCGACTTCATGCCAAGGTCTCTGGCCGCACTGCTCCTTCTCCTCCTCCTTGACGCACTGTCCCCGGCGAGCACTTGCCGATCGGGCCTGGTGAATATCGCGGACATCAACCGCGTCGTTGAAGTCAAACCGCCGACAGCAGCAGCAGACGGCATCGTCACGAAGGCATCAGCCCTCGGGCAGCCGCCTCCTGCGACAGCAACCGCGGCCAACAACTCGAGCTTCATGTGATTCCTTCTGTGGTCTACCAAGAGGTTCCGATGTTGGTTGTACTAGTGTGGGTGTGGGTGTATTTGTGTGGGAGTGTTTGGTGTTGGATTCGAACGCGGATGATCCAGCGGGGGGGGTGACGAGGAGGAAGAGGAAGAGGTGCGGTACGCGGGGTATTTCAGCGGAGGCCAAAAAAAAAAAAAAAGGAACTCACCAGCATCATCTAGGCTTGAACACGTCCCCGTGAGCTTTTTCTCGAGTGGGCGGTCTCTGTAAGGATTGCTTAAAGATCTATAGGCGTCACGCACGCCAGTAGGATACCAAGAACCCAGCAGTGTTTTACTAGGCAGCAGCAAGATATTTTTTCTGCCTAGATGGAGCCAGTTTGCTCCGATTTCAAGACAACACCCCCCGGTGATAACATGTTCGACGTACTTGCCGGCGTTGCGATCCATCCTCTGGGGGTGTGGTGTCTTCAAGGACTTAATTATTTGTCTGATAGGGCATAGGGCCATCATATTCACCATGGGCTCCTGGAGACCCGTAAAAATATTATCATGTGGGTGTCGTGTCCTGGGGGCCAGGTGGTATCGTGGGTGGGGTGATTTATTGTGTGGAACATTGGAACACTGTCATTTAGGTGGACGCGCCCGGGGCAACCGTAAGCCGAGGTGTAAATACACTGAGGGGACAGGAGGAGACCAAACACAGCGCTGGTACGACAGAGCGACAGCCTCATACTGTGGTGAAGACAAAGCGCCATCTAGCCATTTTGACTATTACTAGCGGACGCACACAACGCACTTAATAATGCCCCGCTTCGTTGGAGGGACAACCAAGTCAATCGAAGATACGCCACTGGGATTCAGCTTCCTTGGTGCGAATACCGTGAACAACACAGTTTACCGGGGTAACACCGTCTGTCAGAGCCTCTTGCACAAGCTCGGAACAAGTCAGCCTACTGACAACGACAAACCGCTGTGACCTAACAAACATTCTGAGGAGCACAACAAAAAAAGACACCCGCGACTATCACAGCGGCCAGGAGCATCAAGCCGCTGCCCTTTTTCAAGGGCAGCACCGCGCAGCAATACAAGCTGTCACCGCTAGTTATTGAAACGCACAACCACGCCACTTCAGCAGCAGTAAAAGCTCACAGGGTAGTTCGCCTACCGCGTGGAGGAAGGAAGATGACACCCCTTTATCTTTGAGCAGCAGGATTGCGATTGGGCCTAGCTCACCGACGGCTAATACTCAGCCGCCCCCCCCTTCTTCTCAGTTCCCCATATCAATTGCTCGCCGGTAACCAACGTGCCCCTGTTTGCGCTATCTCTACTCCTGTTCGTTCAGCCGCTTGTTTCATCTATGCCGTATTCAATTGTACACGTACCTAATCTGCATCGGAAATCATCCGAGAAAGGAACTGGGGCCACCCAACGAGTGCCGCGGCTTCTAGCCAAGCAAGGCGCTACTGATTTCGAGGAGCAACGCCGCCCTATCCCACACAAAACATACGCAGCAATACCGATCAAATTTCACTGATACCATCCCGCTCGCCCGCTAGTTCCAATCAAATGCGGTGTTCCCTGGAGGCGGAGGGGGGAGGGCTTGGGGAAACTGATTTTCCTCGGGGCCCCTTAACTTGAGTTTTCGACACTTGTTTCTTCCGGCCCAAGCACGGGGGAGGGGCCATGAAGAACCAACGAACAATCGAACGAGAAAAAACTGAAATAAATTCGCAAATATCTAACGGGTAGGCACAAACCTCGCTAGCAATCATATACAACCACGATTTACGACCTCGCTCTGCCTTCGCCCCTTCCCAGCAAAAAGGCAAAAAGACAAGCACTACGGTACGACAAAAACAAAACACAATCAACACAATCTCTATCACAGCATTTCTAAATACCATTACTTTTGTTTCGATGCGACACCGTCAGCGGCTTCCGACTCCGCGGATGCAAGCGACAACGACGCCGCGCACAGCTGCGCCACGTTGACCGCCTGCTTGCAAACGCACGCCGGCAGGAACACGTAGTAGCACACCTGCCGGGAAATCCGTCAAAGCGGAAGGAGGGTTTGGGTGGAATCAGCGTGGAGGACGATCAGGGATTCACATGCTCCTTGGAGGGGGTACTTAAAGCCGAGCATGCCATCGTCAGCAGTCGTTAGACCGCTGACCGCGCATCCGAGGCGAGTAGGGATACTTGAGTAGGCAGCCAGCATGGCCGTGGGACCAGATGAGCACGACTACCCGTGCTGCAGGTGGGGTGGCAAGGGCGGCTGACCCTGAAGCAACGAGCGGGAGGCGCGAGCATCCCCACGTACTGCAGCAACGCGCGACAAAACAGCAGCAATTAAAAAGCCCACCTCCCGGAACACACAAATAAAACGAGACAAACCCATGTATTCCCGGCAGCACCGCCTACTCTATTGCGTAATCTGACAAAAAAATCACCCATCGTAGAGCCAGAAAATCGCGAAAAACGCGGATACTCAGGCCTTGGCGCTAGCCCAACAAGCAACGATAGCGGCAGCGGCAGCAGCAGCAGCAGCAGCAGCGATGAACTCAGCGATAACAGCTCACCGCGTGCAAGGATATTGCCACCCCGCCGCCCCCGAGCGCAAGCGACGCCTCCGGGACGAACACCAGCAGGTACAGCGCGACGTAGAAGAGCTCCGTGCCCACGCAGCAGAAGGCGAAGAACGGGTAGCAGCCGTAGAACAGGCGGGTGATGACGTTGCGGCCGGCGAGAGTGTCCGCGGCCTTGTGATGTCGCCCGGCGGTGCTGCGAAGGTTGGATGCGGAGGACACACGAACGGTCGTGGGCGGTCTGGCTCATGGCCGGGAAAAATGTGTCCGAGAAAATGCCCCAGCGTTTGGATTGTTGGTAAAAAGCGGGCGAGTGGGCTGCTCGCCATCTGGTCAGACGCCCCTTATCGATAAAATCGTCCAACTGAGCGAATGCCAACAAATCGGGTGCATGGGTGAGCGTTGGCGCAACATATACGTCCAACCGCACTGTTAAAGACGCCGTCCCCCCCAACCCCCCCCCCCCAAAACAAAATACGTGGGTCCATATGCATATGTACCTTTGGACGTGCATCCAGTGGCTGAACAGGTCGATGAACATGAGGAGCAGAAACAAAAAGGCGGGCGTTCCGCCTTCGTACAGCCTCGACAGGACCATCAGAAGGCCCGCCGTGGAGCAGCGGTCCGTCACCATGTCCAACACGGCGCCAAACTTGGAAGCTGGACAGAGAGAACCAGAGTGAGAGAGAGAGAGAGAGAGCGAGAGCGAGAGTGAGAGTGAGAGAGAGAGAGAGAAAGAGAAAGAGAGAGAGAAAGAGAGAGAGAGAGAGATACACGCACAGACAGACGGAGAAACGACCACACAAAATCACACCCTGTTAAACGGTCTGGAGCAAAAGGCGGGCTGTTCGTGCGAACGACTTCATGGGTTCTCGCGGCACCAGATAGGCAACAACAGCCTCACAACAGTAGCGGTCTCCGAAGCGGAGTGTTTCGAAAATGCTGGCGTTTGACTCAAGCACAAGATGCTCGCATTTGACTCAAGCTGGTCGAGACCCTCCCGGCCGTGATTTGCTGCATGCACAAAATAAACGGCGTGATCATACCTTGGGCACTGCCAGCTCACATGCGGCGAGAGAATCTGCATATCCTACTGAGGTCTAAAGTACCTCTGCCCAATGTCGTCGTGTACCTGCTGTCACATACGGTCGCCGAAGGAATCGTAGCTGTGCCTCAACACATGACTCACATTGGTTGAAATACCTAGCTACCGCCCCATCCACCGCATCTCCCACGAAGGCAAGAACGTAGCACAAAAAGCTGCCCAAGCAACAGGAAGAAATGGAGGCGGAGCGTCGTAAAGAGACAGACAATCAGTGGGTGGGGCCGGCCTACGGAAAAGCAAGAAAGCGGGGGGTAGGGGGTGTACTCATACTCATAGTCGTGCATGCCGTAGTCGTTAGACCATTGACCTCGCATCCCTACAAAGCCGGGACGGNTTTCTGGTGCTTTCACTTCCAGAGACAGTTGTAAGCACTGTGTAACTGCCTCGAGGGTGCTAGATCATTTTAACACAACGTGGTGCGATCATCCCCCTTGCGCGGAGTGAGGGTTCTCCACCCCGCACAACATGATCTACTCGACCACCCTTATGGTTACCGCCAAAAAAAAAAACGGAGGTAAATAAAAAAACGGTAACCTGGTTGCCGAGTTCACGAAGTGAATCGGCTTGTTTTACAACGTCGTTGCCAAGCGACGAAACCCAATCCCGATGGCAAACACCGGGGGGAGCGGGGGGTAGGGGGGGGGGATAGCACACCTTAGAGGCTGTGTACAGATGGCCTTGAGGGGCTAACCTGCACCTACCCTGTCGATTGTTTTCATTGCGTGTGACTTCAAGCGAACAAACCCCCTCCACACGGCGCGGCTGGTACGTAAATAGTGCAATCCAACTTGGGAAGCCGTACGGTTGGACGTCGCACAGCGTAGTACCTTTCTTCCCAATGATGTTCCACTCGGGAAGCTATCTTCCGCGGCGGCAGAACGTCAAAAAACTTTTATCACGCAGCGTACTTCGAAGCAGCAATGGAGCAATTGTTCGTGCCGAGGTCAAATCGTGTGTTTCAACCGCGAGATGAACGCAGCGACTTGGCAGACAAACGTAGCAGTCCAGTGGTAGGGACAAACGAATGTCGCTCTGCGATTCTCCCCTGAAGGAAGACACAGGTAGTTCCGCCCTGAACCTGTCTGTCTGTCTTTCTGTGTCTCGCCGTCTCGTTGTCTCTGTCTATCTGTCTGCCTGTTGTCTGTCTATCTGTCTGTCTCTCGCCTGTCTTCATCTGTCTCCGCCTCTATCTCTGTCTCCCTCCCGCTCGCTCTCTTTCTCTCTCTCTGTCTGCCTGCCTGTGTCTCTCTGTCCCTCCCTCTCTCTCTCTGCCTCTGCCTCTGTATTTGACTCTGTCTCTCTGTCCCTCTCTCACCTGGCTTTCCAGTTGGTGTCGGCGAGATAGTAGCTCGCTAGTACAGCGATGATACGGGCGTACCCTGCGTGAGACACGTACAGGCAACCAATCGGCGGCAAGATTGTCGACAGCGGTCATGGTTCTCAGAGGACTGATCAAGAGGGAGACCGCAAGGAAGGAGCAATGCGACAATCCTAGCGCCAGTAGAGAACCCCCCCGTTCCAAACGAATGCGTCTACTGTACATGTCGTTCGGAAGGTGGACGGTCGGACGGCGGGCTTTCGCACACTGTCAGACTGTCAAGACACAGACCGGTTCATAACTGCAGCGGTTAGTGGCCAATTGTAAAGTTCAGGCAGCACGGGATTGGGTACCACGCGCGAACATCAAGAGGAATGAACGGCGAGAGAACCAATTGTCGACAGCTTCTGTGGGCGAATAACCACGCCAATTCACTGCCGTACATCTGTAGTAGTCAGCGTGCGGGGCCGGAGAGAGAATAGAGGGGGGGGGGCGAGGGCGGACAACCGTCAAGGACGCGGAACAACTCGGGACCGCTGGATATCTTCACAGACGGAGAACCAGTTAGGATGACACAGCAGTTGTTTTCCGTACCTCACGCTGAGCAGCAAGTGCTGGCGGAATGACTGCACCAGTTTGTCGGTATCTTTCCTGATGCTGCAAGATGACACCACGCCAGTGCTGCAAGGAGAGCAGCAGCACCGGGATTGGATGCTGTACTATGGTGTTTGCGAACATCGGAATTCGATTTGATTTCGATCTTTTTTATCCACCCAAGCGCCGAAGACCGCGGGATCTTTAGGAATTTGATCTTTCGCTTTTACGAATTGCCCTCAAAGACCGCAGAAAAGATCGAATTCCATCTTGCTCGCATCTATCTTTTTGGGAACAATTTCTGGTTGGCCTATACTCCCCGAGATACTCCCGATGTTGTTCGGACACATGCCGCACCAGCCCGTGAGGCTAGCTATGCACCCACACCTCGGCCGTGATACACACTACCATGGCGAGCCAGCTACAGTACCGCAAGACAGTTAGACAGTCGTCACTGCACGCCAGACCCGGTGCAATGCATGCTGCCGATATGGTGCATTTGCACCATTTGAACCGCAGCATACCGTTCTACATGCTCTTCTTGAGTGACACACCAAGTCGGCGTGACGAGGATGACGGCGATGCTGGGAGCGGCATAGATCTTAGGAGTGCTGCACAGGCGGAGGCGGAGGTGATGGGGTTAGGGATGCTTCAAGTGGCGTGGGAGTGTGAGGAGCTGCTGCGCGTGCGTCCTGTGGACCGTGCTCCGGTGATGCGTCTTTCGCGGACGATCGACTCCGTTGATGACTGCGACGCGTATCACTAAACCGCGGGGCAGCGGTATTAATAGGAGTAGGTCCTTGGCCTTCGTGCTGTGTGTTCACCGAAACTCCGGCGAGGGGAGCGGCCCTCGCCGGAGGACTCGTGTTGCCATGAACACCCGGCAACTGAACCGGGCCAGCCTTCTCATGAGTACGTTGATCTCCATCGTTCTCCATGATTGTTTAGCAGCGGTTGTGAGTGTATAATAATGATGTGGTGGTAGCCTTGCGGTGGGGGTGGAGGCGGAAGGTCTGACGTAGGTTGTTCCGAGCGGGACCAAGTCTGCTGCCGAAAAGAGCCGAAAAGGGGGCTCCGTCGTTGTAAAATATTGCGTTCCTGGAAATTTCTGCGTGATCAAGACCACAAAATTTCACTCGCATCTTCGCAAGCTGTTTTCGAAATCAAATTTTGATCTCATCCCGAACTTCCTGGCAACTTCGAAGATTAAATCCCAACACCAGTCCGCAAACACCCTACTCATTGGTACACTGCTGAACATCCCTTCGCTCTCCATCTCTGCTGGCATTCCAGCAAGAGTTCTCACCTATGAGGTTGGGAAAGTAGAATAGAACGGCCCAGGGGGAAGGTCCCGTCATGCCTCTCCGTCCTTCTCTCGCGAGCTCTGCACACCCTCCGTACCCACAACGACTAACCTAACGCGGGCTGCGCGATGCACAAGCGACGACAGACAAGCGAGACGGCGAAACAGCGCGAGAGCTGGTCGGGGGGCTCTCCGAAAATACGCGATATAGGGCATATGTTATGAATACGGGCTGTGAGCCCCCCGACGTAACTTCGTCCCGGGTAGTGAGCAGTGAGTGCTGTAGCTGGACATCCTCTCCATATCTTTCATCACAACTCGTGTCTCGGTTGCTACCCGGCCTCTGATCACGCTATCGCTGCTGCGGATATTGAACTGCGAGAGCTTCCGCTCTCGTCGCTGCTCTCCCTCCTTTAGTCAGATCCTGGTGAGACTGCGTCAGTGTTTTTGAGCGCGTCATTTGAACTTTTTTTCCCGAGGATGACGCGTCCTCGAGAACAAAATGATTTCCCTGCAGCTGTTGGCGGACGTGCCCAACTAACCGGGGGCTGCTGTGCCGTGTTTCTCTCGGTGAGCGCTTGGCCGCAAGCCGCACTGCTCATTTACGTAGCCTCTGTTCCTTGATCTTGTTTGTGCAAACGACTGTATCCGCAGAGGCTGTCGAACGGAGTCGATGGTATATCTTGCAGTTTTAATAAATGGTTGTCGATCATGATTCGTCTGGAGCTGCTGCGTACCATGCTGTACGAGTATGTTTGGTGTCCCTTGACTACTGGTACGTCCCGACGGCATGAATAGATATTCTTGAGAACGAACGGAAAGCCGCAAATCAGCCGTGCACGAGAGAGCGCCTGTTGACCAAAACCCACAGCCATAAAAATGTAACAAGTCACGACAGGTTGCACGCCCAACCGTGTCGATGACGTAGACTCGTAGTTACAGCAGGAACATGACATCCCCCCCAAGTCAAATCCCTCCACTCAAGTCATCTCAAGTTCACACCCAAAGTTAATTTCCAACTCCAAGCCATTCCCCAAGCCGCTAAGATTCTCAAGGCACAAAATGAATACATGTACAGTGTATACGTCAACCCCTAACGAGCGTAAATGGGAATGCAAGATAGGTCAAACGAAAAACGTACATCACCAATAGGCGAGGCAAGGGCGGGTGGGCGAGACGAATCGTTTGTACAAATAGCTCGTGCCACAACCCCTTGCCCTGATCGGAAATTTCAGGGCAGGAACTGCAAGAAGTGTGCTTGGTCTCTTATTTGGGGGTGGGGGTAGGACTACAACCGCGGCGCGGACGATTCGTATGTGGTGGGTACCTGGCATGGTAAATGGTGCAAGCGACGAATGTTGGACTGCAGCGCATTGATACGAGCCCTGTCGTATATATTTTTTGCCAGAACAAACGCCTGCTTCCAAGAGCGCACAGGTTGTTCGCGCACCGTGGTGCCCCAGACAACAGCGACAACACCGTCGAAAACATAGGGAGCTAGTTGGAACCGAGCGCAACAACATGTCCAAGGCGGTTTCGAGAGACATCGGCCCCGCGGTGCTGCCGCAGCTCGACAACGAGGCCGTGCGAACGTACCGGACGAGCTACCGGAGGTTCCGCAAGGGGGGCAGCAGGGGCTCGAGGGGCGAAGATCCTGAGGTAACTGGACGATCGTGATCACCAGCTGCTAGCTCATACACGCACGCAAAGCTCGCCACCATTAATCCCTCCGAATGTTGCTGGTTAGCATTGCGCAAACAGCTGGACTACTTCTCGTGCACCGTCGTTAACCTTGTTCGCAGATTTTTCCTTCGCTTGATTGCGCTTCCCGACGTGTATCCGGACCTGACATGCCGCAACTAGCCTGTACTGAACAAAGGAGGTTGTTGACCGCTCTACATAGGTCTCAATGACCCGGCAGATATCAAATGACTACCAGTACATTGTTGTCCGGACAGAAGCGGCCATCGCCATCGATACCACTGCCATCACCGCTACTGTCAACGATAACAACAACAACAATAACAACATCGCCATCACTCCCATCAACTTGCTCTGCCTTCGTAGGCCCCAGCCGACCACGTCGTCCCGGACGAGCTCGTGCCTGAGGTTGACGGTGGTCATGGTATCCCCGGCCTGAGGTACGTGTGTATCACATCTCACGTTCTTGTGCAACGTTTGGGACTGCTTGTCCGAGTGTTGATACGATATGTGTACTGCATGTATGTTCGGCGGTTTTACCATCGGGGTTCGCTGACTGAAAGCTTTTGTTTGACCTCCGTGCATCACCAGTACGTAACGACGGAAGACCCTTGATGTGTGGTGGATGTTCTTTCTCTGCCATTCCCAGTCGTGTTGTGTCAGCCTGTGACGACGCAGGCCGTTTCTCTGTTCGTGACGACGATCGCGGAATGGCTACAGAGGATCTCGGTTTCCGAATCGGCTCCTGAGGATCTCGGTTTCCGTATCAGTAGGAACTCCCTAGTGGCATTTTGCGATGTATCGAGAGACATGTTGGGTTTAAGGAGTGGGTATTCCCCCCGTCGCTCTCCCCCCCCCCTCCGCACCCTCTCCCCTCTAGCGGGACGCACGCGACCACTTGTAACGAGGCTCTCGATATTCCCTTCCGCGCGCGGGTGAACGTGGACATTTGCTCATGTGCTGAACAACCCGTCGGCTGAGAACGAGCGTTTCCTTCTGAATGATTTCTGGCATTGCTTGTTGGGCTTGGTGTGACCATAGAATTCACGGAATTGCCGACTTGGTATCATGCCAGAAGGAACCACCACCTCCACCGTACAACAGCGCCGACAGTAGCCACCGCAGTGGTAGTAAAACAACAAAAACAAGCCTCGAGCGAGGTGCACGTATGTCGCCTAGACTCATGATCGATCGTGTGTCGCCGGCTGGTTGCAGCGCGGCTGAGATCTTCAACACGGAGATGTTCGACGCCTTGAGCCGGTACCGCATGGACTACCGTCGGCACCGCATGGGGGCGGCGCACGGAGCGAAGGGAGAGATCACCGCGCTGGCCATGGGCTCCACGTCTCTGACCGGGAACAAGCGGAGTTCGATGAAGGTGCGCCGCTGAGTGTGCAGCAATAGTTTTGGCTGTGTGTTTTTTGTATTTCCTTCTTGGTTTGACACAACAAACTCATCTCCTCTACATGTTAGAGTCTGGGATGGATTAGCAATGAACTATTATATGTCATAGCATCAGCGATGTTTTTATTTTGTTCTCTCGCAAGCACCGCGGGGGAAATGGTGGATAACTCATACGTATACAGTGTTGCCCGGGGCCCGGGTTGAAGGGTCAAACAGGTACCGAATTGTGACTATCCGCCCAGAATAGATACCACGAATGAAATCAAGTAGACTCGCTCGTTGTTGATTTCTCGCCCGTGGCCATGGAATCAGGAGCGGAAGCCCATGCAAGTCGACAAAAAAAATTCGGGAGAAACCCTTTAGGCGGGAACTGCAGCCCAGGGAACCTTCAGCGGCGGCAAAATGTTCTTGAGACGGGTCGAGGTGCACCCTTGTGAGAAAGCAACGAAGACGACGACAAGAAATCACAAGTGAAAAAATCTCCTCTCTTTCGCGGTCCCTGCCCCCGTCCGCGCTGTTCCTAGCTCCCCGTAGGTCAGCTGTCGGCCTTGGCGGCCTTCAGGAAGGCTTCCCTGCATGCCGCGGCGGCTCGCCTGACGACGTTCCACGTGCACATCGGCGCGGGAAGGCTTGGCCTTGGACTGGTGAGGGATGGGGAAAGGGGGCGGGTCAGGGGCGGGAAAGAACAGAGAAGGATGGACCATTCGAGATGGAAGGGGGATCTAAAAACACAGGGGAGCCATAGATTTTGGATGGGATAGGGGGAGTACATTTCGTCAACAGGCGATAGGACCCTCTCTCTAGGCAATATGGGTCAGATTCGGTGTTTTTAGGCTGTTGTCCGCTGTCGAAGAATTCGGTGCTGCACCGATAGATGTAACACGTGCCGTTCTTCAGCTCCAGGTGTGATGGCTTCTCCGCCTACCTAAACTAAATGCCGCTCGAACTCCCCGTCGCCGTGATCTCTCTGTATAATCCTGTGATGTTGTATCCTGTTATCTTTCATTCTGTGATATTGCATACTGTGATGTTGCGTACTGTGATATTGCATACTGTGATATTGCATACTGTGATATTGCAAACTGTAATATTGCATTCCTCTCGGTGGTGGGTTTAGGTTTTGTGAAGCTGGGGTCGCATCGATACTAGTGTGTTTTAGACCCTTCGTTTTTCCGTGCCTTTCCGTCCCTGCGCCAGGTCATTCCTGCCATCCACGCCAGCGGAAAGCCTTACGCTATCGTCCAGCGGCCGTCTAGGAGCTGGGCTGCGGTTACGGACAAGGTGCGCCATTCGTTGCGTCGTGTTTTTGTGGCAAGCGGGGCGGGTAGCGATTCATGACATCAACTCACTATTTTTTCCCGAAAACGTTTATGAGGACAGCCCCGGCAAACCAAACACGTGGGCGGTGGCGAAGACTCCGTGACACGCCTTCACAAACGCGTACTTCCTGCAGCAAGAACAAAGATCATAGTCATAGAAACGATCATTGTCATAGAAACAGCGGGAGTCTATTTGAGAGGGACTACTGACAGTTTTTTCGTCTTCTGAAATGTGGAGGCCTGGGGTCTGCTTCGTCTTCTGGAATGTGGAGGCCGGGAGGGTAAGGGGTCTTCTGGCCGTCTGGGGTTTCGAACCAAGGACTGAAGCACCGAACCGTTTGGGGAGCACCTGGCACGGACGGCAGTGGCGCCTCTCCTCGGCTTTCCGATCCACCGGCCCGTCTAACCCGCTTACATGACACGAGAGTCTCACCAGCTTACGCGACACGAGTGTCTCACCCGCTTACATGACACGAGAGTCTCACCAGCTTACGCGACACGAGTGTCTCACCCGCTTACGTGACACGAGAGTCTCACCAGCTTACGCGACACGAGTGTCTCACCCGCTTACATGACACGAGAGTCTCACCAGCTTACGCGACACGGGTGTCCTACCCGCTTACGTGACACGAGAGTCTCACCAGCTTACGCGACACGAGTGTCTCACCCGCTTACATGACACGAGAGTCTCACCAGCTTACGCGACACGGGTGTCCTACCCGCTTACGTGACACGAGAGTCTCACCAGCTTACGCGACACGAGTGTCTCACCCGCTAACGTGACACGAAACAAACAGCGCCGAGATGCACAGTCCCAACACGCAAGAATGACCGCCACAATAACTTCTTTCACCTGCGTTTGTGCCCACAAAAGAGATTTCAATGCCTTGCTGCCTACGGAGGAAGTTAGAGGGCGTGGACCATGAACGCACCGCGAGGGTGACAACATGTCAACATACACGTTTGATCGAAAGAATGAACCCACGAAAAGAGTCCACAACGCTAGAACGACTCCTCCCACACTCATGCGATGGAGTCATCTCAAACCCACAGGTGCCAACGTTGGGAAGAAAACGCACATTCTCACTGAAACTATTGACGTTTGTTAGTCGATCAGTAACTAGGTCCTCGCGGTCTCAAGCAAAGTTCTCGTTCACTCTCACGCCCCCATTTCGTCGTGGCCATCTCCGCTTGAAGTTGGTCGGCGTTCACGAGACAGCACTCCGTGAGCGCGGTGTAGACTAATACACAACACGGAATATACGAATCGCCCTGGACACGGGGCCGCGAGCACAGCACCTGACGCCGATTGATGCTGTTTTATCTGGTGCGCGTTTTCTTTTGCAGGAGGGCACGGAAGTGGGCCTGAAGGTGAACGGAGAGCCCACGATCCAGAAGATGGACGTCCTAAAGAACGGGACTGTGGGGGGCGTTGCGGCGCTTCCGGGAGGCGGTCTCGGGGAAGAATCCCGAGTGTTTGCCTGCACGGACGAGGCCGAATCTCTCAAGGCGCTGGTGAGACGAGAAGAGCCGGGTTTAACTCAAGCATCAACGTACTCTTGTCCTGACTGAAGGTCTCGCCGGGCATGTCCCTCGATTTCTTCCGATAGAGTTGGACCGCACATCAGGTGTTAAAACGTCTCTCGTTGGCCTTGTCGGCATTTCCCCCTCATCCGCTTCGGTCGTCTGCTTGTCGCTTGACAAAAGGTCGAGCGAGCGACTACCTTCAGCATTTCGCTGGGCCCCTCGATGTCGGACGTGGTCCTGCCCCTGATGTCCTGCGTCGAGCCCAAGGCGGACGGGGAGAGGCCCGCCCTGTACGCCTGCGAAAACGACCACAATGCCGTGCACAAGCTCCAGGAGGCCCTAGAGGGTGTGTGCGTCTTCCTCTAAAGTAGTACGCTTTAAGGATGGGAAGGTCGGAAGGCACCCAGTCAGTGAAGCGGGCCGGTTTCGGACAGAAATTACGGGGGGTAGGCTTCGTTTTGGACCCAATTCAGAGACGAAAACCGTGGAGCTTGGAAGTCAGCCAGTCTGCCTGCCAAGCAAGATGCGAGTTGAACATGCTGGAAATATGGGTATTTGGGGGGGGGGCAAGACTTGAGGAGGCCTTATCCATTCCATGTGACTCAGTGAGCGCAGTTCGAGGAAACCAATAAAGACCAACAGAAGAACTATAGTTGGTTCAAGCGGAGCTCGAGAGAATTGGCCTGCACTGTCGGCCGAACCAACTCGTACCACCCCGGCCGTCTGTTAATGGGTAAAGGTCGTCTACATGAACGCGCTACGGTCCCACAACTCTCAGCGCCGCTGGCAGAACTCTTGAGTGCTGTTTGGGGTCGGTGGTAGTGCCAGTCTGGTAGAATGAAGCCCGATGAGACCCGTTGATCCCGGCTCGGTAGGGATGCATTGGTCTTCGACCTGGGGGCAGCGGCCGTGAAAGTTCGCCCGCCCCCCCCCGCTCCTGATAGTCCGACCTCCACGACCGTGTAAGGAAATCAAGAACCACCGTTGCCCCGTCTGGCTATTCCTTGGATTTTCTACAGTAATCGGGAACACGTGGCCCCCGTGTGTACAGGTCGCGTGGATGTCGTGTCGTGCATGGTTGACCGCATCTGCACGGAGCGGACCATCACGGCGGACTGGATAGAGATGGGCACCGAGCCCTCGAGCGGCGAGATCGTCGTGATCGCGCCGCCGCAGAGAGCCCCGCTGCCCCCCTTCAAGGGAGACCACGTCCAGGTCAGTCGTAGATGAAGATATGCTGTGCCACCTTGTTGCAGTTTGTGCCCCGGGAGAAAATGTTTTCGGTGCCGAAGTGACAAGCGAGGTCCGCGAATTTGTTGCTGAAAGTTGAGCATACATCGTAATCCAACAATGTTTGTTATCCCGATGCAAGTAGTCATCTATTTCATGTGGCTGGCCGTTGGCTCCGGGTTGTCATCGCTAGGTCCGAGTCTTAGGAGTGCCTAAACACGTTGTTTCTCACTCTGTTATTGTAAGGGTTTGGCGATCCCTTGAGGGCGTGTTGCACTCCGTCGCGCGAGCCGTTGTACCACCCGCGGAGGGGACGTGCCGGTTCATGTAATTTGTACAGTTGGTTTTGTCCACTTTCCCTCTATTTTCGAGCGCCAGACGTTTTTCTGCGTATCGTATTGCATGACTGGACAACTTGCCGTCGGAGATACGTGTTCGGTGTGTTTGATCTTGGGTGGTTCTGTGGCCATGCCAGAAGATGAGTAGGCATAGGCCCGGGTCGTCTTGTGGCCAACGCCCATACCATTTCCCAGAAGCGTAAGAGTCAAGCCAGCGGAAACAGGTATCTCTGAAGTTATGTTTTGCAGCTCCCTCCCCCGTGGCCGTTCTCTTTGTATGTGCACGCCGCTCTCCCTAACGTTGTGGCTCACTGTCCTCTTTCCGCGTCGGACTTTGCTTCGCCGTCCATGGCACTTCATTACTAGACTACTTCATTTCTGTGTCGTTTGCGTCCTATGTTCACTGTGCTGTCGAGCAGATCCCGCGAATTCCGGCCGAGGCCGAGTACTTCTGCCGTCGCAAGATCCTCCTAGTGAACGGTATGCTCGGCGTTGATCGTGGGTTTGGCAGGGATTCGAGACACCAAACGAAAAATCCGCTGGGAGGCGTAAGCTGGCGCCAGAACATATGCGCCGAAGATGACACTTAAGATTAGGGTATACCCAAACGGTACGACGGGTCCTTCGTGTAAATAGCCCTGTCATTGTTGGTATGTATAGCCGCGTTCTTGGGTTTGCCTCTGTGAACATTCACAACATTCACAACAAGGAAGACACGAGGACAACGCTGGTGGGTGACCGACAGCAGCTCTCGCAACGACCGCGACATCGCCGAGAGCATGACGACTGTCTTGGCCTGCTTTTGCGTCTGCCGGGGGCAGGCATGCACACCACGCTGGCCTTCATCACGTTGTGCAAGCTCGAGAGCGGGGGACTGCAGGGGGAAGGGTGGAAGGAGCACATCTTAGTCACCCCGGCCACCGCCACGGAACAGGAGGTAGGTGTGATGGCTGGTTGCGAAGCGATAGCTACGCCTTTTGGTTCAACTCAAACAAGCAGCGCGATGGCACTGGCAAACAGGCACGCTCGGTATGGTGGTGTACCTTGTTCGTTTCCTCCTGTGGTTGTCCAGTGTTGGTGAACGATATGCGGTCCTGCGCTCTCTTTTACTTTAGTATGCTTCCCGCTGTCCTTTTTCTGTTTGTCCGAAGACATTTATTGAGATCGAACTGTATCCTCCCCGTTCCCCGCCCCCATCTCACACCTGCATTGCAATGCACGGACTCTTCAGACTTGGTTTCATAATCTGTTTTTCGTTGAACGCACAACAGCGAGCAGACAAACTCTCCCGCCCCCCCCCTGCAGAACGCCTTGGTGTGGAGGTGGGCGGTGGCCCGGGTGATGTACGTCATGTGGGAGCATGAGCCGGATATCATCAAGGCGGCTCACAACATCAACACCGATGTAGAGGTTTGTCTTCTTCCAACGTGTGATCGATGTGGGTAGCGTTGCATGCACAGCTGTTTCGCAGAGTTCATTAGGAGATTTCTGTTTGAAGGCCACCGACCTTTCCCGTCCACATAGCGCGAGATCGCTACTGGGTATCTCGGTAGATGCGGCGGCCTATCACCCACCAGGCTTCATCATCCCCCCGTACAGTCGGTCGTTTTCGTCGTTTTCCTTCAGGATTGAGTTATTTCGCAGTACGGGCTGTTCGCACGTGAAGAGTTATGCTTCGACGACAAGGCCGTAACCCGAAACCCGTCGAACTGCTCCACCCCCCCGCCCCCTCCTCCTTTCCTGCACCTCCTCCCTTCCCCCACGCTCAAGCTGCTTTTGCTCTTTGTTTTAGGAAAATATTCTGACACCGCTGCTTTTTGCTTCTCGCCCCGACCCGCTAGAATTCCGCCGCCTTGTGTTCGTTCTCGTGTGTTCCGACAAAGTGCTACAACTCACCCCATCGAACGGGATATTGTCTCGAACAGGAAACGCTTGTCTGATGTCACGCGTTTTGTTTGAAAGTGTCATTTAGTTTCCGCCTTTCCGTCCCCAATCAACATGTACGGTCCGCTACAACACTCTGAGGATATTTGATACTCCTTTTCGATCGTGGCCTACATAATTGCAGTTATGCCGTACCCTGCTGGGATACGCCAAGACCACCCTGGGAAGGTTCAGTGGGGTGAGAGCAAAAGGGACACAAGTGTCGGCAATCTGGGGTGTCGTCGAATTCGGCAGGCAGTGCTGCATTTGTGCTTTTTTCGACAAAGGGGCATCCTATGCTGTTACTTATTGTTCTGTGAGAGAGCACTCGCCCGAGATATCGCCGTTTAAGACAGGGAGACGAGGAAAGCATGATTGAGTAGACACGAGAAGCGCCACCTGCTCCACGCATCTCTCCAGATGTGTCGCCTAGCACGGACGGTATCCGAAAGTCTTCCCCCCTCATTGGTAGTGAAACCTCTTGGCAGCACTTCCTCTCCTTCTCCAACCTTGCGGTTCGTAAGCGTACGCAGGCCTGGTGGCAAAAGGGCCGGCCTAGTGGACGCCCCTACATACCATGTTTGAAAAACATCTGCGGCTACGTGTCATCTTGTTGCGATGTTTGTTTCGTGCGTGCGTGCCTAGGTGCATAACCTGGTCTTAGGGTAGGCTGGTTTTTGTGGCAGAACTTCACCTGCCCACTGTTGGTTTCTGCAATCGTCAGGCTGAAAGGAACATGTAGGCAGGTTGTCTGCGCCCCTCGCAAAAGATAGGTCGGGAGAGATAACATCCGCTCACTCACCCGACGCTCAAAACCTGTGGAAGGTGTTTCGCGGCCTCTGTGCCGCTACTATGTGTAGTTGCTGAGCTCAACCTATGTGCAGTTGCTGACCTCAACACGCTGCCGTTTGTTTCTGTGTTTGCTAGGTTGAAGACAAGGCTGGGAGGGTGTTAGGCGGAGGCGTGGCCAACCGGTTTGAGGGAAGGCTCAACATGATAAAGGTCGAGTCTCCACAATCCCGTTGATTTTGTTTGTCCACCCGATTACACGATTCGTATTTTCCACGTCCGAACACATCGTATCACATGAATCACCTATTTCTTGGCGTTCGTTCTCGACGCCGTTGAGGTGAGTGATTTTGAATGAGTTTTGTGACGGGCTATTTCCGCATTCTCTACATGCATGTGATCTCCATGTTTCTCTGGTCCTCTTGAGTGAAGTAGAATCGGCGTTTTGAGACATTCTTGTTCATGTCTACGACGCAGTTCGCGCGAAATAGTGTCTGGGTTGGAGGGTTTGCGAATCCAGATGTCCACACCCTCAGCCTGTTTAGGTGTAGTACGGCTTTGTTCCGCACGGATGAAGTAGCTGTTTTGCTGTGTGTTCTTCACAAAGCGTAGGGTTACGCTTGGATGTCTCGTATGTTGAGCATGCTACACTTCATCATAATCCTGACTTGTTTCTACATACTCTGATAGAACGTCCCTCCTTCTATCCATGCCCTCTTCAATGGCTTGCTTTATTTGAGTGCCTCGACATATACTCGACTCTTGACTACGACCCCGAAGTCGCTTACAGAATCGCTTGCAGGATCTCGTATTATGGCTTGTTTTCGTATCTTGACACCCCTTACCCAGGCCATTCACGACTGTTCATGTGCGTGTTCCGGTTGTCCGTTGCGTGTCGCAACAAATCTTCATGTATGAGTTGATGGCATCCAGACTATTGAACCCACCGGCCCAACTGCCCCCTATATTGTCTGCATGACATTTGAAGAACGGGGATGTCTGTCATGAAAAAAGGTTGAGATCTCGTAGCGAAACTATTCGCATAGCCCACGCAGCTTTTGCTCCTTGTTCACCCGCCCGCCAATCACCCCTCTCCACCTTCCTCGCCTTACATATTCCGTTCGATTCGATGATTCTGCAGTCTTTCCTGGAGAACGAGCCGCCCATGCGAACAGGTCTCCGCGCCAAGCTCTTGAAGCTGGCCGGGGTGAAGGAGTCGGACATGAGGGAGGCGGTAAGGTCGCTGGTCGAGCAGAGCTCGCGATTCGTAGGAGTGAAGGTCAATAAGCCGACCGCCAAGGTTGTAGTGACGTAAAGAATATGTGAATCGTCCCGGTCGTTGCCACATCGGGTGTATTCAACACGCTTGGGGTGGTTTTTCCTACGGTGGAGGTGCGGAGAAACGATCCCGGGGACGAGTGCGCCCACTGCGCCGATGACGCGCGGTACAACCAATGCGGGTGGTTTGGGACGTGCGGAGAGACAAGGGTAAACAATTTGCATGAAACGTAGGTCATGACCATCGAGGAGATGCGGGCGGCCAAGAAAAGAATGCGTCGCTGTTTGAGAAACACGTTCTGTCTTCTCACCATGGGTATGTACGGCATGCATTCCCCCGAAACAATCTCTAGCGAATTCCGCGAAATGTTCCATGTTTTGTTTAGTGATATATTGAACGTTCTCGAATGATGTATGTGGTGCGAGTCGTGACTCATTCCGCGGTTCGGTCCAAGAAATGTGGCAAGGCGAATGAACGGAGACCGAGCGACACCTGCGGTAAACGAAAACGTAGGAGGTAGGCCGCTGATGGTTCGAGATGTTCCGAGTGAAATGAATTTGCTGGTCGCTGTTCTTGGTACATGCCCCCGCGTGTCGTCAGTGTTGCAATGATTCTGGTGCGCGCGGTATGTTGGCTGGTCATTTTCTAGACGTTCCGTAGCGTCTGGTGTCCCTTCCACTCGGGAGAGCTACTTAACTGCCCCTGGACTTGGGTGGGGTGATTCCACAAGTTCGTGCGTTGTGCGATGAGGCTGTTGATGTTTCGTCATGCGATGTTTGAAGACAATCGCCCGAGTGGGAAAATCGGCGTGAATCCCACAAATCGAGAGACAGATATATGAATGGTGTGTTTTCGGCCACATTCATTTCACGGTGTAAATGCAGGTCCTACGTAGGAGTTTGACGCGGCTTGGACGGCGTACGAGTAGCGGGCTGGCAGGATGGAAACTCCTTCGTCGATATACATGTATCGGTGTATTAGTCGCGTCGATGAAAATAGCCGAAGGGAGGAACTGCGGTTGCTGCTGTAGCCCTCGTGAGAATAGTGGTGTAATGTTGGCCGTCACTTGTGTGTGCCCTGTGAAGTTTCCACGTCACTTCCTTCGTGCCGTTTGTCGCCATTATAACGACCAAGTGAAGGATAGAAAAAAAGTGCGCAGATTCATTCCCAACGTTGCAACCTCTGTGAAGGATCTGTCGAATGTGCACCGACAATTGTGGGAGAAGACCCGGGAGGAGACTATCATTAACAAGGACGTGCTTGAAGTGACTTCCATCCACGTGTCTCCTCCGTTTCCTACTCCGCACTCTATCCTTGAAAAAAGTGAACAATACTTGCGAAGGCTTGCCGTTCTCGTGGGTGCAAGGAACATGATCGGTCACCAAGCAAACGTCAACCCCCCCGGTTAGGCGCAAGTGGCACGTCGTCCTTGGGTGCGCTCATCTTTCGTGCATCCAAACCCTTCTTCGAGAGGTCCGTCCGATACTTGGAAGTCGCCTAAGGAGGAAACCGCCATATCTGCGCTCACCCTCTGCGTGTTGCCTTCGCCAGGAGGTAACAAAACATAATTAACATCGACGGGTTGTGAATCGAGAGCGACAGAGGGCCTTAGGGTGCAGTTAACGCACGAGTAGGCAAGCGGTGTGCTGCTGCAGTGGGTTTCAATGCGTTGTGAAACGCTGGGCTTCACACAAGTGATGTCGAGGATACAAGCCCTCTAGAGAGATGCGCGAAAAGGCGCGAGTCGTGGAGTTGTTTTGCGATCTCAAGCAAACCAGGACAACAAACTAACGATGCCAGTGTTCTGGGAGGGCGGCCACAGAAGCGAAACGAGACTGGCGCTAGAGGTGGACTGAATAAATAATCAGAGTTGAGGTCGGAGTTGAATCACTTCGTTCGGAGGCGGCGCTCAGCACTTCAATTTTTCACTCGATGGTGAGCCATCTCTTTCGCATGGCGATTCAAATCGCCTTTCTTTCTGGCGAAATTACAGATTGTGTTGACCCCATCTTCCTCCAACCCGCTGTGCTTCCGCTGCTACTACTACTCTACCCTACTGGCTATTGAGCCCCTCCCGGAGTGAAGTCGGACTTTTCCAGCAAAAAGTCCTCCCAGTTCTGGTACTCCCGGACCTTGAAGAGCTCGAGCTGCACGTAGGGCGGGTCGTTGTCGGAGTCGAGCACGAAAAGGGAGTCGTAGCCGTCGATCCGGTAGAAGGGAGTTCCGGCGAGGACCTGCACAAGGCGAGGCATACACGTGGGGCGTGTACCGCCCGGTGGTGCGACAAAAAAGGGGTTGCGGCACGTGAAAAATTGGGGCAAAAGGGAGGGGGCCTGAGCATCAGCTGGGGTGTCACGATAGGTCCTTTCACACTTGACTACGAAGCCGGGACGAAGCACAAACGGCCCAGCCGATCAAAAATGGCGGGAGACGTTTTCCATAAGACTTTGACCGCGTGGAGGGGTCCCGTGCAACGTGAAAACACCCCATTCAAGCTAAAGTAGGTCGACCACTGTGGTGTTTCATTAAACAACGAACATCCGAACAATGCATGCGTCAGGCTTCAGCCAGAAGCGCATGGTTCGTACACTCCTTGTACTACCTTTCCGCGCAACGGATAACACACACACGGACTAGTCATATATATAATAGCCGGTTAGCGCGGTCGATGCTAATAATAAAAACACACGCACCAGCCACTACAAAAATGTGTGGTAAAACTAAAGGGTTCGATAGCTGCATGTACATACATGCAACAGCCTGCAGTAACAACCACGTAATAAGAGAAAGTGCGAGAATGTGGGCGTTGTTGTTGTCGATATACAAAGCGACTCATGCAAATAAGCAGACTTCCCGCCAAACAACTTTCAAAGCACACCGCCGGTGTTATCATGCGGGGTCCAATACATGTTCAATACAAAAAAATAAAAAGGCACCTCTTCTCCGTCGAACTTGAGCGATATGTGCCTAGTCTTGGCCACGAACTCGACTTTCTCGGCATCAAAGTCCTTCGGTACCGGCACGTACACGCTCACCACGTCGGCGTTCTGGTTCCACCAGTAACGCTCGGAGGTCCCGTTGTAGTACACCTGTCGCACGTTTTTTCGACATAGTGATTTGTCCGTGGGGTTATCGGTTTGGTTTTTCGCACGTACACCAGACTGATGATTTGCGGTGTGTGCGGTAGGAGTCTGAGACGTTTGGTTCCGCCTGAGCCCTGGAAACCGGCTCGGCTCGCCATGCTGCAGCTGCTGGATCGAGTACGTGCTTTTGCTCGTGCCGCGATCGAGGCGGCGTCGATGTGCTCCTACTCTCGACTAGAAGCGAAAAACTGTTCGACCCACTTTTGGGTGTATTGCCTGGAATTTCAACACCCAAACATGTTTTGATTGCTACCTTCTCGCAGTTACACATATAAGGGGGGGCTCTGTGATGACCAGGGCGTTAAAAGACAGAAATACCAATATCAAAGGTTGGTCACAGCCGCCAGTAACAACACTATACGAAGACTGGATTCACCTCCAGTATTCCCTACTATGCTTCGAGCATGACGGGATCTCACTTCACTGTGAGAGGGATCGGCGAGGTAACAGCCAGTCTGGTGGAGCTGCCTACTACACACTACGCATACGTCGGAACCAGCTCTAGTATTCTCGTAAGGCTAGCCGTCAGGGTACAACGAGGGAGAATTAGGTGACACAGATTGTTGTTGGCGTATGCAGGGGCGGGGAAAGGCGGCAAGCTCACGTTGCGGTTGGCGGGGACTTCGGGCTCAAATTATATGGCAAGCGGTATTCACCGAAGCGTCGAGGTCGCGAATAGGCTTACCTCGCTGTTGGTCAGAGGCGGGAAGTTGTCGATCGAGTACGGGAAGACCGTCTGGTTCGCAGCGATGACCGATCCCTTTATCAACTGCTCCTTCGCCTCAACCCTAGCCTGCAAAATGCGAAACGAGCGACAAGCCGCAGGTGGCGGGGACGTGGCAGAAGGTTCAGTGGATCACACGTCGCATAAGGTTACGCCCGTGGCAAAAAAAGCCTCCATATCGAAAATGAATATTCATCAATGTATACTTACCAACAACGCAAATCACGCCATGTCCAATGGGTCGAGTTGGGGCGTGGAACAAATACCTCGGGGATGCTACTGCCATTCTCGGAGCATCGACAGCAAACAGGTGTTGATCTGCCATCAAGCGCCGAGGCACGATTGATGACTACCTCTACAAGTAAATATGTCCGGACTCCAGGGTTGACTCGGTTCGGCGAACTCGAGGAACCGAGGAACACCTTCCGGTATGCACGCACGAACGTGCTCTCGCCTCACGCCTACAACATCGGTGTTTGCCAAAGTGCGAGAGATGCGGTCGCTGGTTGCGCTATTTAGTGGAATTCCCAGGACAAATCGATACACTCCGCCCCCCCATTGCACCCCGACAATACCACGGCCATGTGTGTATTTTTCTGAATGCCCCCAACTTGAATGTCCCCGGGAACAAAAATACTTTCCCCGTTGGTTGCGACAGATAGAATCACGCGAACGGCTGGCGACAGGATCGTTACAGGATGGTACTCAACCGGATTGGTTGCAAATAAGAAATGACGCTCCCAAGTGGCATCTAACACGGAAACAATGCCCCACCGAACAAGCGCCCAACACCACTACTGCTCGAGACGAGGACCACGAGATGAGAGCGACCCTTACCGTCCCGTTCGCCCATTCTGGAGAGAAGGATCCCATTGCCTGGTCCAGGTCCACGGGCGCCATGTCGCTGTCGAATCCCTGCTCTTGGCCGCCGTCGCCGCTCCCAGCGCTCGCCGCGGCCGTTTCCACCCCGGGCTCGAAGGACATCAAGGCAGATCTGATCCTTCTCCTTGCCTGTGGTGTGGATGGGCGTCACGTGTGGCGAGTTGGCGGCAATAAGGGGTACCGTACGTTGCATAATATGTAGAGTACATCGACGATTTTACAAGATTGATTACTTTGTGGCAAACAGAGCGACGGCGCCGAAAACGGCGGCGTTAGAAACGCCCTTTCGAGATCTTATCAGAGACGTATCACCTGACTCTGATCTAGGCATCTCTCTTGGTGGAAGACTCGAGGATTACACAGGTGTCTAGGGGGTTGATGGTAACCTACGCAACCTCCGGCAGCGCCCACCGGGTTCGAAACAGGGCTGCGTGGGCTTCGTAACGAAAAACATTATTGAAAGTCCAGGTTACACCTACCCACCTGAGGCAACCCAGCACCCTGGTTAGTACAAGTTTGCGCAGCAGGCACAACCACTTTCGACGCAAGGGTCCGGGGCTGTCGTCCAACAAGCAATCGTAAGACGACGACCAACCTGCATGTTCACCCCGACGGATCAAACACTGCTGGCGTTTAGATTCGTACCGTCATTGCATGTACAGTGGTCCACATTCCCAGCTCTCCCCACAAGTACATACGAATAATACTCGGGAATGATCTTTCCTCTGTGGCCCAAATCGCGTCTGCCAGGCCGCTGTAGGCTCTGTGTCCAGCCCACTGCTGTAGTTTTGCAAGATATACTTTGTATTTGACCACAGCATACGGTAGACTCCTGCTGCTGTAGACTAGTGGAGTGTTCCTGGGGAAGAAAACAGAAAACGTACCGGTTGTTCCAATAATGCTGCACACCAAAGCAGCAGTGATGACTGGCACACAACATGTGTACGACTTCATATCGCAGGCGCCTGTGAGATAGCAAATCACTGATGTTGCTAATAGAGCAAGAGGTTGCCTGTGGCTCGAACTCTGCATGCCAGGTCAAATGTATATGCAACAGACACGCCGTGCGTAAATTCCAATTAGACAAACGTCACCCACCTTTCCTTGGTGTCGCTGGCCATCAGATGCAGGAGATTTCCTCCCTGTTCTGCTAGTACGGCTACTCCAAGCCTTCAGCTGGCAGTTGCTTGTTGACCAGACCGATCCAAACGCCGCATGATCACACCGGGATGCAGTTGATGGTGTTGGCACGGGCGGGTGAAAGACAAATGCATCCGACACCTGGTCTAAGCTAGGCGACAGCAGCCCAAGGGCCAACGCTGCTCTTCTCATAAGTGACTTCCTTCTGCCGAGACAGGTCATGGTTGGGCTCTCCGCGCAGGCCGGCAGTGCACTGCAACGTTGCCGGTATGACCCCGCCTCCCGAGCCGCGGGGAGGGGGGGCACCGCCGATTTGTCCGAAATCTCAGGAGATCTCCGGAGATGTCCACCGATATCCAATCTGGGCAATAAGCGGCTTGGTTGAGC